GTTGGTTCAAGAATTCCTTTCTGTGCTTCCTACTTCCACAAATTTCCTTGTGAAACTTAGGAGCTAATCACATTACAAAATAAATGTACTTACCCCTGCCAGTTTCAAGACAATGATGGGATGCAGCCAGGTACTATCACATGCAAAATGCTGCTGATGCCACTGCCCAGCTGCATCCCACCTAAAACCTACCTACAAACTGTGCTCAGATGGATGATTTGCAAAGTTAGGAGGTTCCCAACTTTGCAAATCACCCAGCTGAGTGTGAATTTTAGCCGGGTTTTAGGCGGGATGCAGCCAGGCAATGGCATTGGCAGCATTTTGCATGCAACAATACCTGGCTGCATTCTGTAATTGTCTTGAAACTCATCCATCTCCACCTGCAAAGTGCCATGAAATGAATTTGGGACATTCTTTTGTACACCCCCCTTTTTTGTCTCTTTTGGAAGATGCAACTATTTTAGCCTGTTCCACCATACCAACAAAGAACCTTGCAGCCTTTGTTTGTCCTCAGATTTCCTTTTTTGTACTGCCTTTGTTGGACGTTGAAGGAGGTGGATCCTGAGCTGCAAAAAAAGGGAGAAAAATTTACGCTATAATAAAACGTATGCTATCAGTCTTCCGAAGTGCCGAAAGGCTCTTTTGAGGATTTGCTCTGTGCCTGTGACACAGGGCTTAGCACCGAAACCGTTTTGATGCAATTAGCAGCCTGCCTCTTTTGCTTCCCGGAGAATGGAGGCCTCTGCATTTGTTTCACTAATTGCTCCTTGCTTTTGAGCATCTTCTGGTTTCTTTTTCAAGATGAAAAGGTTAAAAAAAAACACCCAACCCTTACAAAACTGGTCCCCAGAACTTTCCGAAATTGACACTCCGCAGTGCTGCAAGGAAACTAAAACAAGAAGCCTCTCCCCCTCTTTCTGATTCATAATTTGCCAATTAGTCACCTCATTAGGAAGAAACACCAAGAATAAAAGGGAGAGCTTCTTTGACTGTGGAGAACACTTAGCGCAGCATGGTGTCATCATAGAAAAAGATGGCTTTTTATTTTGCACAGCCTCTAATATCATGCCTCTCCGCACATAGACACACCTGATATAATATTTTGCCTTCATTTTGATGACTGGAATTGCT